TGCAAACATATAAATTTTTAAAGAATTTTTAAAAAATTATTATAAAAAATTTTTTAAAACTTAATTTTAAAATTAAAATATTTTAAAAACCTTTTAAAAACTTAAAATTTTTGTTAATAATGTTGATAAAATATATATTAAACTATATTTTTTATATAGTAATAATATTACTAAAATTAATATTTAATATTTTTAATTTTATAATCAAATTTGCCTGCTATATAGTCTAAGAGATATATTTTTTAAAAATGATAAGATCAAAATGAAACTTACCTAAATAAAAAGCAGAAATTAAGTTAATATTTTAGAGAATGCTTTTATTCAAGTTTTGAATCAGTTTAAAGAGAAAAATTATCTAATTTTTTTTAGGTCTATGTCATAAAAATAATTACATTATTAGTCAGATAATTAGATTTAGATAATTGAACAATCTCACAGATTAATTTGAATTGATTCTTCTCAGATTGACTTAATGCAAAACTATCTGTTATCTAGAATCATATCAGATTTAAGGCAGATTATCTGAATTGATAGATTTCAGATCGTATTATTAATAAGAATAATATTTTTGTTAATAATTTATATTTTTTTTGAACATATTTTACAAACATTATAAACTAATTCATAATTTGGATTTTTATCAAAATACAACTATACAATACTACTTTCTATTGAAATGCTTAATATTTAACTAGTTATTAAAATCTGACTAGCTGATTTATCAGGATAAATTTTTTCATTAAGGTTGATTATCTACTTATCTTTATTATTCTCAAGTTAGTTTGAATTAAATTCATTATTTAAAATTCTTTCAGAAGATGTTTCTTCATTTTGTTTTTCAATTTTAACAAATAAAGTGAGAAAATATATAGAAAGTTTTCTTATTGATTGTCATTTATTATGAAATTTAATGTTACAAAATTACTATTTTATTAATTATTACTACCAAATTATTATATTAATAATTGTAAAACAAATAATAGTATTACAAAATTTGGTATTACAAAATTAATGCTACAAAATATTACAAGAAATTTGTGTTAAAATTATTGTGCTATAATAAATATTAATTGCAAATTTATTTTGTATGTTTTAATTTAATATTTATTTACATTTTAAATATTCTAACGGTACATTTAAATTATTTAAATAAAGCACTCAAGTAAGACTAATATTCAGTCCTAGAACTAACTCTGAGTTGCTCTAATAGGAATTTTCCTATCTATCCTTATATATATTTAAATGTAAATGTCAAGATTTAAGTAATAGTATGAAAATTGTAGAATTAATTATTAAAGTATTGAGTCTTTAAAGATTCAGGTTTGATATTCTTTAGGGAATCAGGTACATTTGGTAAGCTAGTTATTGGAGTATTGATACAATTAAGATAAGTTAAGGAGCTGGGTAATGTTGGTAGGATAGTTATTGGAGTATAAGAGCAATTAAGTTCCATTAAGGAGTTGGGTAAAGTAGGTAGGGTGGTTATTTGAGTAGAAGAACAATAAAGTTCAATTAAGGAGTTGGGTAAAGTTGGTAGGAAAGTTATTTGAGTATAAGAGCAATTAAGTACCGTTAAAGAATTGGGTAATGTTGGTATGATAGCTATTTCAGTATCAGAGCATAAGAGCTTTATTAAGCAGTTAGGTAAAGTTGGTAAGCTATTTAAATTAGTTTTATAGCAATTGAGCTTTATTAAGGAGTTAGATAAAGGTGGTAGGATAGTTATTTGAGTTGAAGAGCAATCAAATTCCGTTAAGGCGTTGGGTAAATTTGGTAAAATAGTTATTTGAGTAGAAGAGCAATCAAGTATTATTAAGGAGTTTGGCAAAGTTGGTAGGATAGTTAATGGAGTATTATAGCAATAAAGTTCCGTTAATGAGGGTAAAGTTGGTAGGATAGTTATTTGAGTATAATTGCAATAAAGTTCCTTTAAGGAATGGGGTAAAGTTGGTAGGATAGTAATTGGAGTAGAAGCGCAATAAAGTTCCTTTAAGGAGTTAGGTAAAGTTGGTAGGACAGTTATTTGAGTTTTTAAACAATAGAGTTTTATTAAAGAGTTGGGTAAAGTTGGTAGGATAGTTATTGGAGTATTTGAGCAATCAAGTGAAGATAAGGAGTTGGGTAGTTTTGGTAGAAAATTTAATTTAATATTATTGCATTCAATAATTTTTAATTTTCGATATCTTTGTAATCCACCTGAAGCGTTTAATATTTCGTCCTTATTAGATTCTGTAATCCTTAAACTTTCAATAATATCATCATAAATAATTTCTGACACATCATTATCTAATCCTACTTTCATTTGATCAAATTGATGAATAAATTCGAAATTATTTGAAACAATATTATTCTTTTGATAATTCATCTGATCAAATCGAATAATTTGAGAATCTTCTCCTAATGAATTATTTACGTTAGAAACAGCTTCGAAGTTCTTTGATGCATGATTATTCATTTGATTATTTTCTTTTATGTTTGTTTTTGATACAATTGCATTTAATTTATCAACTACTTGATTCATTGATGGACGATTATCTGGCTCATTATCCCAACACTCTAAAATTAGAGAAAATATTTAATAATCATTTATATTCCTATTCTTATAAATAATTCACAATCATATATTTACCAGTGTAAATCTTCACATAATCTTCAGGTGTGCCAGGAATGGTCCTCTCTCTAAGTCCTCCCGAAATTTCGATAGCTAAACTTACGTCGTATTCTTCATCCTTATTATAAAAAGGAGGTCGACCGCTTGATATCTCCCACATGAGTACACCAACACTGTAAACGTCGCTCTTTTCGTTGAGTTTAAATTGTGGTGAAATATTGTCATTTCTTCGTCTGCTAAAAAATTTTGGGTCAACATAAGGAATTACTCCAAAAGTTTTTGACTGATTAGTTTCCGCTTCTATCCTTTTCGATAATCCAAAGTCGGCTAGTTTTATGACACCTTGATGAATTAATATATTTCCGGAATGCTATTTAAAGCATATAAAAAAAAATTGTTAATAATAAACAGAAATATTCGTAAGAGAATACGTATTATATAAATTTACCAAATCTCGATGCAAAATTCCTTCGTTATGTAAACACGATACAGCACAAGACAATTGGTATGCCAAGCTGTATTTATCTCCCCAAGCAAGCTTATAAAAATTTTCCTTCAAATAACCTTTAAGCGTACCGCCATCAGCATATTCCATTACTAACCAATAATTTTTTATTTGATCATTTAATTCTAAAAAAAAATATTTATAAAATAATTATTAATAATTTGCAAAGTTAATATACATATCCTCTTTATTTAATATTTTATACCTTGGTTTGACGTAATTCCCAAAATCCGGATGATATTGCTATGAAAATCAACTTCAATTTGAAGTTCAAGCTAAGTTATTAGAATATAAAATATTAGCTTGAAATACAAAAGATTTAATACTTAAATAATCCGAAATAATCCGAAATATAATCTTTCATATTGTACTTACCTCTTGAATAATTTTTTTAACGGTGTTATTACTAAAGTTATGAAATGATTTTAACGCGATAACTTGATTCGAACTTTTCCAATTTGCACGATAGACTTTCCCAAAGCCGCCTATGCCAATTTCTTGAAAATTGCTAAATAGTTTAAATTCATAATATTTGATACTTTTTCTAGAGATATATTCTTCAACCGACTCATTCTGATTATTAGTTGTTTGCATTTTGATTTATTAGATTTAATTGCAGTGAGAAAAGAATAAAATGCACTTGGTGCTTGCATTAAATAAAATTTTTAGCAAACAGGTCATTTGTGTGATCGGCTATTAAAAATCACCTCACCTTACGGATCATATGATTTGAGTAATTTTTTTCCGATTTTTGTAGATTAATTCTTAATATGATAATTAGTTCTATTTAAATAACACTATTAACTCTTCGCCAATTTTTTTTACGTTGTACAGGAAATATTCTGTTGTAAATAAACAAAAGAGCATCTTCTTGCTTTGCTATGCTCTTGTGACGATACCCATAATTTTATTTTCGTGAAAGGGTTCTTTATATTTGTTATATTTGTCTATCGTGTAATTTGGAAAATCAAAACAACCTATTGCGTTAAAATGTTTCCATAATTTTAACATTTAAATGTAACAAAAAAAAATTTATTTATTTATTTAATAAATAGAACGTATTTAAATATATTTTTTTTTTTTAAAAAAAAAAAAAAATATTATCACTTTTATTATAAAAGTTCCACGAATTTTCGGAGGAATTTTCATTATCACTTAAAAGAATATTAAACGCTTCTTTGTTTATATTATATTTTTGATCACTACTTTCGATTATTATATTCTTTAAAATTTGAATTTTCATTCTCATTAACTTCATCTATTTTCAACAATTGTTTTTCATAACTTAGAACTTCTTGTTGAATTTTTTAATTGTTCATCACTTTTTTGAAGCATTTCTTTTAGTTCCGAACTAATACGCAAGGCTTCTCTGTTTTCTTGAAGATTTTCATGTTGCTTAAGCCTCTTATTTTCTTCTAATATACGAATTACAAAGTCAATCAGTCATTGTCCAAGATTGGTAATATCTTGTGATTAAAAAGGCACAGTGTTATAAAACTGGAGTTCGTCACATCACATCTACTTCATCTCATCTCTATTTTAATTTAAAGTTTTTTAAAATAGGATTTGTGTATTTAATTAAGTGAAAGAACTTTTAAATTTGATAATGAAATAACTGTAATTTTATAACAGATCAAACTCTAAGTTCACAAAATTTGACATTTTATTAAGATATTTTTTGGATTTAAAAAGCTCTTTTTATACACATGATCGTCTGAATCAACAATTCTTTTAAAACTTATTAATCTTTGAAATACTAAAAGCCTTCATCTTAGTTGCCGTAATAACTTGAACAAAATAAAAATTCAGAAATTCAGGATTCAGATCTAAATATTGAGATTTTTTTGACAATAAGAAAGGTAAGAACAAAAATTTATAAAAAATGCTATATTGCTTGTACATTAAAATTATAACAATATAAATTTTCTTTATATTTCCCTAGAAACTTAGAAAAACAACACTATCTTTTTTCTGCAATTCTAAAGGAAATAATCAAATCAAATACAAAGGCAAAACTTCAAGACAGTTATTTACAATATCTCATAATATAATATATTTTAAATAACTTTGTTGCAATTTCATATTAGTCATCATTAAGATTTTGATTCGTCTCAAATTCACCTGAACTGCGGCTATAATTTAGATTTGGTCGCCACTAAATTTGGCCATCAGTTTGCAATCCTAAAAAAATTTCAAATCTTAATATCGGTCAGAGTTAAGATAATTATTTTAAAAATACCAATTTATAACTTGCAGTGTTTCATGGTTTTTATTCTTCTAATCTTTTCTAATAAAAATATTTTCTTTGTTGCAGAACATTTAATAGTCTTCCTTTTTCGATATTATATACATTAATCCATTCATTTTTTTAAATGAATTATTCTATTATGATTTAGTCTTGCGGTCATTGTGCAATGCATAATGCAATTTTTAAACTTTAAATAACTATATGGTATCACTAAATGTATTTCAAATTACGGGAATTTTTTGAAATTGGTTGCGTGCGATTTATACGAAATACTAATTTTCAATAAGTGATATATTTAAAAAAAGTCTATACAATCAAAACTAGATATACCGATTATTATGAAATTATTTAAAAAAATTCGGTTTATCAAAACGTTTTGTGATTTTATTGAGATCGTCATATGGAGAATCGTTATATCGAGTTCAGACTTTAGTTTATAGATTTTTTTTTAAAAAAAAAAACAAGCAAAAAAACTTTTATCCAATAAAGATATAATTATAATGTTCATTTACATTTATTGTTCTTTTACATGTAAGATCTAAAATTTGGAACATAAAGAAAAGTTAGAATTCAAAGTTATGGAATTGTAAAAATTTATTGATTATAATATGAAATTTATTATAAGATTGTTTAAATAAATTAATATATATAGAGTACACATTGATTTCAAATTACTCGTAGAGTAAATATTTGTGATAGTTCAAAATTATCCATATCTTGTACTTTAACCTTCGTATAAAGCTTTTTAAACCTAAATGTTTGGTAATATTGTACAAAGAAAAATTAATAATTTAATTGTTCTATCGTGTTCTATTAGTTCCAGGGCATTGTGTCCCATTTCTGTTTAGTTTAAATTTAAGTTTTGTCAGTATTTAGTTAGACTTTTGTAGATCAATGGCCAAATTGTCTCCTGGCCAATATGCCATCCGGCCATTATGTTTCGAGGACAAAAAGGCCTCTGAATAATTAGTCCTTGCTGGGTTTTAAGTATAAAAGAGGTGGGATTTCGCTTCAATAGAACGTATCAAGTGTTCCATATATTCCCTAGATATAAACGATAAACAACATTAGCATATATCCCCTTTCCCTTTATTTGTACCGAATAACGAAAGTGTATAATAAATTACGTATCAGATCGTATAGAGTGCCGAAGATTGAGGCAATACCTTATTTACGTAGATTTATGTTAGGTTTTCCATTTGTTTTTAATAAAGACACTTAAATAAATAAACCTTCTGCTTACCTTTTCTATTGTTAATAACTATAAACGTTTCGAACTGCGTGCAACAATATCTCTAAAACTTAATGCGTCAACCTCTAAGTTGTCATAATTCTGAAGTATATATTCCTCCATGTGATTATTGGGCGAATAGGGTTTTCCCATATAAAATTCAAACATTCGAAAGTTTTCTTAAAAAAAAAAACTAATACCATTTTTCCAAGAGTCCGAAACTTATCGAAAGTAACTGATAGTAGGGATTGGAATCGATTCAATCGAAAATCGAATCTTGAGAATCGATTAAAGTTTCGATTAATCGTTTTTATTTATTTAGATATATTAAATTGTTTAATACAAAATTATCAAAAAAAACTAAATTTAAAATTCACTTCCAATC